TGCCCACCAATCAGACTAGCCCTGCTGGCTCACCTGATCATTACCCACCAATCAGACTAGCCTTGCTGGCTAACCTGATCCTTGCCCACCAATCAAAAAGCACTCCCTGCCCCTGGCTCTATAAATATGCAGAGCTGTTCCTCAATAAATGGGCATTTCTCCTACGGCAAGCCTTGATCGTTCTTTCAGGTTTATGCTGGAAGGAGGTGGATGGGGACTCAGGATTCCTAGGCTTCCAGGTCCAATTACTGTCTCTGTTCCAATTGTTCTTGGCAATGTGGCCCTTGGGACTGGCTTGGGGATGAGAGGCAATCTCTATAATCATTTGCCTTTACTCTGGGATAGGAAGAACCCCTGGCTTGACAGAATTGCCTACCCGATAGTGTATGGGGTTCTCTTTATGCCCATATAACTCTGTTGGACTACTTCTATGTTGAAGTTCAGCTTATCCATCAGAATCCATCCAATAACAGTCATGAGGGCCTGGGGTTCAACCACCCCAATGTCCTTGGATATTTGGCTTGTAGCTGATTTCTGGGTATTTCTGGGTAGCTGTCAGGAGCTTGACTTTATTCATGGAATTTTCCTTCCCCTTTCCTTTTTTTATGAATGTTAAAAGACTGCAGAAAATTCTTCATTTTGTTCTTCACCTAGTTTTCCGGAGGACACTGTCCCTTCTCAGTAAGGCAAGGAAAGGACTTGCTTGAAATTGTGTCTATTTTCTTGACTTTGTCAGGAGGGCTCAAGCTACAGTCTTGGGAACTTTCTTCCTCCTCTCCTGTTCTGTACCTCCCAAAGCTGTCTTTGATTTCATTTAGACAGAGTATTTCATTCTCATCCTCTCCTGGAACCACGACATTTGTGACTTTGGATATCTCTTGCCCCTGGCTACTCCCTCCCTTCATTAGATCATCACATAGACCTTGGGAAGTTGACTTGTTAATCCTAGAAAAGGTCTGGGCCTTGGCAGGGATGCCTGAGAAGGCGAGATATCTGAGGTGGAGAGTTCATTAGTGTGGCAATCTTTCAGGACTCTAGTGACCTGGTCTTGGGACTGCTTCTCTGACTCAAACCCCACTTTGAGCTGAACATCACTACCTACATTTGCTTCCAAATTTCTGTCTCCTGGATCCTATGAAATAGAAATTCTAGAAGGGTAGGGGCTTTCTCTCTTTCCCAGAGACCCAAGTTTTTCAGATTCACATTGTTGATTTGGGAGTTTTCTATAATAGAGTCTTCCACTCTTATTTCCCATTCAGAGGATTTCTTCTTCTCCACCACTCTCTCATTAGTCTTTGCAGCTGTTGATGATTGGCATCATACTTTAATTTCCAGCATTGTCATGCCATGACATGGATCTCCCGAGACCACATCTGTACTCTCTGTGTCTCATACATGGCCATATCCAGACCTGGACTGGACTCCAGGCTAGATTTTTCAATCCTCCTAATAACTCTGCTCTGCTGTTGCATCATCATAAGGCTATAGGTATGAGAAGGCATGCAGGCCTCTGAGGTCCTATGACTGCCACCCACTGGGGTTCCTCCTCTAGGTCCTCTGTACCTCTGAATTTGAGAGAGCAGGAAGGGGATTCTGTAAAATGGGAAATGAATTTTTCTTATTATCCTCTTTCCCAGACCTTTCTGAGGAATTTCTTCCAGGAGACTTGCAAACGTGGCAATGGAAATGGCCTCTTAGTCAAGGGAGGCTGAGGAGGTAAAAACAGGCTGTGTATGGGGTTACGTTAGAGCTTCACCTAACTTGCAATTAATGGGATCAAGATCCTGGAGAGATGGACTCCACCTGTGCTTCATCCAAGACCTCATACTATCTGTTTCTAGCTTCAGGTGAGTTCCTGGAAGTTCAAGGAAAGAAAGCTCCTTAAAGGTGTTCACATAAGATTGCTGATTCTTGGAGGAGGCTGGATGGATGCGGATTGTGGCATGTAGGACTTTGGATAAGCACAGTTGGCAGCAAGCCAGTATTCATGCACACACAGAGGGATCATGCCCTTCTTTATCTTCACTAACTTTCTGCACAGATGGTCTTCCAGGATTTTTTCCACATTTTTTGCTCTGGGCCTGTAGATAAGTCATTTTTCTGAAATACCCTTCCTGTTCCTCCTCAAGTGTGTTTTGAAACCTCCTTATTGTCATTCTAAACCTTCCCTGAGGTGCTCCTGAAATCCAGGATAAGTGAATTGGCTGCCTCTGCAGTTCTGGCTCTAGACCTTTGTTTGGGAAATCTATATTGTGTGTTAAAGAGCCCATTGTAGAGAGTCTTTCATTGGGCTTGGACTCCATCTTCTGCAAACCCTTACCATCAATTGCTTACTGCCTGGGCTGCAAGGGGCCAGGATTGTCATTTTTCTGTCACTGACTCTTCCCTGGAAATTGATCCTGAGGCTGCATCTGTTCTGAGATGGTAGAAATCTACAGAGAGGTCTGAGCTGTTGTTAATCACTGATTAACTCCCCTTGGATATATTGTTTGAATCTGTTCTCTAGCTCCTGACTGGCAGAATCCCCAGAAACAATGGAGACAGAGTTAGAAATTTGGGAGTCCCATCTTCCCTGGGGAATGTTGAGAGCTGTCTGGTTAATGACTTCCAGAGTCTTTTGGATCTCAGAGAAAAAGTTCTTCTTCCATTTCAGTGGGTTCTGCAAGGCACATTCTGAATATTGATCTTCAGTAGGGATGAAAGACTATGCCTCCTTTTCAGATTTAGTGCTACTTTTTTGTGTCAGACTTAATCTGGGATAAAGAAGGGGGTAGGTTTAGAAAAGTGTATAAAGTGCTATACAGGGTCTGACTCTGAGCCACAGATGGGAACCAGTTTTGTGCCAAAAGTTGGGATCAGGGCTCCTTCTGAGAAAGCTGTGGAGGTTCTTCATCCTGATATTGAACTGAGAGAGATTCCAAGAGTTTGTTGAATGTTACATGTTTACATTGTGCAATAGAAAACCTCTTAGAGACCCAGGCAGTAGCCACCAGGGATTCACAGTGCAGAGAGGTCAGACCCCAGAACAGCTGGCTATATTTTTGCTCTAAATCCCCCTTCCCACCAAGGCCTTGTGGTAAGAGAAATTCTGAGAGTCATGAAGCTGTTCTGGTTTTTCTTTTGTGTTTCTGAAAGTTTAAACATTGGTTTCTCTCTTATTACTCAGTGACTCTAACATATTTCCTAGAGAATACATGGTGCAATCTGGACTCATTTTTTTTGAAAGAGGACCCATTTTTAGGATTTTTTCCACACTTTACGTTCCACTCTTTTGGTGATTACCATTTTTCAGCAGCATCTGACACCAGAATTGATGATACAGAGGCCTCCAGACTCTACCTGCCAACTTGTGGGGTTTACACAGAGTGTGGGGTCTGATGGATGGTGGAAAAGATGTTCTTGTTTGGATTTGCCATATACCCAGGTAGAGAAATATAAGAGCTTGGCAGTTGTCTACCACCAGGAGAGTAATGAAATTGAATAGCTTATGCAGTCTAGGCCTGAGATGGCGGTGATCAGGGATGCCCAGTATGCATGACTTACAAGGGAGCTCTGAGGAACAATGTCCAGTGTGATTCTATTCAAGTCAGACTTGTCTTCATGTTCTTTGATAAGTATGAGGCCCAAGGCAGAGGGTGTTTGGTCAGAGGAGCTAGAGAAACTAATGGGGGTATGATGGTAGAAGGATCTTCCAAATGTTGATGGGGTAGCTCTTGAACACCAGCAGGCCCTTGCATGAATTCCTCTCATGGAGTATCTTCATGTAGCAGTAGAGGAGAACTGTCCTTGTCCTAGAGCTTCCCTAGGAGACTTTAGGAGAAAAAAGGTACAAGCTACAGGCTTGGCCGGGGTGAAAACCTGTGGCCAATAGACCCTCCACTGCCATTCACACTGGCTTCACCAAGATCTTGCTTTTTTAACATCAGAGCTTTAGTCATATTCCTCTCTAACCCAGAGTCTTCCTACTAGTTTAAGCCTTGAGCCTTGGAGACTCACATTACAGATTCTGATGGGAAGAACAGTATAGAGAACTGGAAAGTTCCTCACCTTTGCAGAAGTAAAATTAGATTCTGAATCTCCATCAGATTCTTCAGGCAATTGCCCAAAGCTGGAAAAAAAAAAGATGATTTTGTGGTAGAGAAGGGAAGATCCCAGATTTTACAGGATGTTAAGTGGAATACCCCCTTGGGGGAGATCATGGGAGATGAGACTGGAGGCTAAGCCTCAGTGTCCAAGTTCAAATGACCAGTGAGAGTCATATAAAGACTCTGGGAGGAGCCACATTTTATCACTTACAGGGTGTTTTACCTCCACCCACCTCCATGATCCTCACAACTACCTTATAGGGGAGAAATGATTGCTTACCTCAAAGAGAAATTGACCTTAACAAGATGAAACAGCTTAACCAGAGGTGGACCTGAAAGTCCCACCTCCATATCTAGGCACTACTGCTCAAGTGCTGCCCACACCACCCTACTGGACATGATCCACCCCTGGCCCACCATATTTTCTGAGCACAAAAACTGAGAAGTGTCTCTGATATGATGATTTTCTCCCCAGCATACTTCCTCTCTCAGGTCTCTGCAGCCCACATCCTCTAGGGCATGGCTCTGGACTCTTGGAGAAAGGGAACAACAAGCCACCTCTTGGTGGCAGGACCTTACCTTTCAGGGTGCCACTCTTCTTCCTGTTCTAGTACAGCACCTTATTCACCTTCACATGCTTAGACAATATAGAAAAAGAGGCTGAAGCCCAGTTCTCCCTATGTTCTCCTAGATCAGCTGTAGATATTCCAGGTTTCTGAACAGCATGACTTCTACAGTTAGCTAGTGGAAACCCTTTTATTAAGAGAATACATTTAAAGTGGTAATATACTTAATTTTTCTTTTGTGGAAAGCACAAAAGGAGATTTTCTCAATAAACTACACCTTGAATATCCTTAGTCTGATCCTCAGCTTAAGAATGGAGTCATTTCCACAGGCTCTTCTTAGCTGCCAGGCAAGGTTCTGCTTCCAAAGGCCAGAAGTGACTTGAGATCCTGTGATGGAGGCCCTCAGGCCAACATCAGCCCAATTCAGAAGAAAGCCTTGTTCCAGAGACATTTGCCAGGAGAAGGTGACAGAGCAATGCTCAGGGCCTGTTCTTCTCCAGAGGTTCCCAGTATTCTCAGGAGTCCATACCCCTCTATGTGGTCTGAGACTTTCAGTTAGGAGAAATACTAGCGCACACTCTCTTTCTGCCCTGCCCTGCCTGCCCCAGAATAATCCTATATTCTGTCCTGAGCTTTGTCTTTTGTGAAGTGTGTCTACTTATTTTGGAAAAGTGGAAAGGAAATTAGTCAAAAGAGAATTGGTTTTGGTTCTCTCTGATATGACCTGAAGGATTCTTACCTTTCTGAGTTGTTCTTTTTTCCTTGGTGGTGGGAAGAATGGATTACCCTGGAGGTGGGGCAACAAAAGGAGAAAGATCCTCAGTCTACATGCAAAGGCAAGGACCATATCCGTTGCCAAGGTGGTGACGCTGGGTTCAGCAATGCAGCATTAATGCTATTTACAGGAGAGAGAGGATTCTCCCTCATCTGAATTTCACTGTGTCACTTGGACACATGAATCCTGAGAGTTCTCTTCAGGAATGGGAAGTGGGACTCAGGCTTATGTCACAGAGCTGTACTCTCTCATCACACAGTAATCCTGTCATTGGGGGAGGGGCAAGAAGAGGAGGCAGCACCACACCCCTTCCCTATCCTCCAGCCAGCATGTTCTCTGACTTCCTGAGCTTTCTAGATCTTTACTTCCAACTCCACTTGCCTACCCTGTCAGAGAAGAACTCAGTCTATTCAGTATTCTTTTCCCCTGGAACCCAGACATTGCCTGTTTCTTGTAGATCTCTGCTTAAGCTCAATAATTTCAAGGTTTTGGAAATTCTTATTATGTCTGGAAATTTAATTTCTCTGGGAATATTACTTTCAGGATCTCTTCTCTTAAAAATTCCAACTCTTCCATACAATGTGTTTTTGCCTTGATCAACAGCATAGAACTGAAATTTCTCTTATGCTTATTCAGTCATGCTAATTTTAAATAAAAGCTTTTCAAATTTGTTTTACTATCTTCAACTAGAGGGTTTAGACAAAAGTATTGATACATGATTATTACAAATTCATAAGACTAAGTACAAAAATTAAAATAAACTCACAAAAGATAAATTTTTGTATGATTTTAATAGTTTTTTTTAAAAAGTGAAAGTTAAACTTCAATAGAATTTTGGGATTCATGTCTATACACACAGTATAAAGATGGCCTTAGCCTAAGCAACTTCATTTTAAAACTCCATATTAAAATAAAACTGGAGTTCCTGCCAGGCATGCCTTCAGAGCCCTTCAATATTGTCATCAGGTATAGCCTAATAAAATAAGTCATTTTCCACAACCCTGATAAAACTCAGAGTGAAGTCACTTCAACTTATAAAAGTCAGAAGAGAGAGATCAGGGCAGAAAACACCAGACCCTAGAATATCCTAACCCTAGAATGAAAGACATCACTAAGACACCCAGTAAGGAGCTGAGAGGGACTGAAAGGGCAAGCAGAAACCCCCAAATTTAGTATATAAATGATGTAACAAATGAACAGACATTCAGCCAACTGACACTGATGCCCCCATGCTGGAGAGCCTGAGGAGGACATGTGGACTGACATCCCAACTCTTCTCATCATCTACCTGATCTTCTACATTGTCCTTACCACTCTCCAACTCTACAGCCACATCTTGACCCTGATGAGAACAGCAGTTTCTCCTTATGACCCTCTTCTCAACTAGCCTTCAGCTTCACCCAATGAGAAGCCTCCATAGATTCCTGACCTGCTTATTGTGGGGTCTGAGTGAATGTGCATCTGCTGGACTTAAGGACCAGGACTTGAGACTCGAAATCTGGCACTTGAGCTTAGCAAGCAGAGGGAGTGTCTGTGGATTAAGTATGTTTTTAGTGATTAGAAATGACCTAGAATTGTTTGTTTTGAATTTATCATGTCTATTTCAGTGCCCAGAATTAAGGACTGTCATTTTCTTAAGAACTTGTAGAATGGCTGGAGTTGTAGTTCAGAAGTAGAGCACTTGCCTAGCACATGCAAGGCCCTGGGTTCAATAATCAGCATCACACAAAAATTAAATAAAATAAAGTTATTGTGTCCAACTACAACTAAAACAAAATATTGAAAAAAAATGAACCTATAGCATGAAATTGTATTGAGTGATTTGAGTGAATAAAGCATTGAAAATGGCACTAGTGCATCTACATTCTTTATTTCTTCTCTCAACTGCATATGTTGCACCTTTGCCTATCACATCATACATATGCACACATATCACACATACACAGAATCCCCCAAATATAATCCCCCACTCCCACACACCCTTTTACAAATAAATCCAGTGTTCTCAAATCTAAGAATGTGTTGTGGCATGTTTGAAATAAATCACTGTATAAGTCTTGGAGCAAGACATGGAACCTGTATTCACCAGTGGGTCAGAAGGACATTAGGCAAGTCATCTCCTTGTAGAAGACCTTGTAGCAACCTTTGGCCCCTTTTAGAAGGTAGAGTACATTCTTATAGAAAAAAACCAACCAACCAAAGAAACAAAAATACACTAGTGAGTCAAAAACATAGCAACTAAGGGAGTGGGTCAGAATGAACCAGTACAGGGCATAGTGGAAAAAAAAATGAGAATAAAAAGAGAACAATTACAGTATATAAGAATAACAGCAGTATTTTCCAAGGCTGTGCATTTCTAAGCAGGGTATGCTAACAATGGACTGGGTCTCTTTCTCCTTTTATTGCTCTGCTTCCAGGGTAATCCATAATTTCCACCACAACCCTTTGTGCAGGTGAAGGTGAATTAGAGTGAGTCAGTTGTATTTCTGCTGGTTCACCTTGCTCCCAAGTGCTTTTGCTAAGTACCCATATCATCATTTTTCCAACCTAAAAACTCAGTAATTTTGAGTTCAAGACTTGTCCTCAACAAAACAAAAAATGCAGTCCTCTATGCCATTTTGATGGTTGATTACTAAAATTATACAAAATAAAACATCTATCTCATCAGGAATTTGGATATAGTTCAGTGGTAGGACATTTGTCTAATATGAGCAGTTTCCATCTGAATATAAGTTCTGGTGCAGTTTTCCAGGAAAGACAATCAGGCAAGTGACAGGGACACCCTGCAGAGTCCCCACCAGAGACCTCCACAGAGCCACCAACAAAGACCAACACTGAGACTTCCAGAGAGTTCCATAAAGCCCTCTTGGTGAGACCTCCAGAGACCTACAAGAACTCCATAGACACTACTATTTGGTTTTCTTCCCATCACCACCAAAATATTTTGTTATCTGTTATGAGATGTTGGCAGAAATTTACTCATTTTTGAAGTTTGTGATTCCTTAAATTGTGGGTCAGTACTCAAGCTAATGAAAAATTAGGAAATAATTTACAGATCCATAGGAAAGGATTTTTCAGATTTGCATGTGGAAACTGTAACACTTTTTCAGAAGAAAAATGACACTATTCAAATACACAAATATGTGGGCATTCCAAGGAGGTAGCTTCAGCTGAAGATTCCTTCCTGGGTTTCCACTTTGTGAAGAACTTTGAGATGCAATACAAAAGACCTATTCTTGTGTGGCTGCACAGGCTCCTAAGAATGGATATGAGTTCTCTGTGGGAAGTTTGTCTTCTGAGTATGTTGTCTCTGTATGAGGTTTCTCTCCAAGTGTCTTTGAAAATTGTTCTTGATGTGGTTCTGTGTTGGAAATCTCTTGGAGGATCTCATTTGGTGTCTATGAATATCTCTTAGTCAGAGGGCTTTTGGGGGCTTCTTTTTGAGCCTCTTTCATGGTTTCAGTGAGAGTATCTATGGAGATCTCTGTGGAAAACTCTGAAGATCTTCTGGAGTCTCTGGAGGTCTCAGTGTGGATCTGTGTGGAGGTCTCCAGGGTGTCTTTGTGGGATCTCCCTCTCACTAACCTTTCATAAAGCAGCAGGACCAGTAGTCACGGGATTTACTCTTTGCTGTTTCAGGCTGGTTTATCAATGTGGCCATCTGTAACACTCATCCTTTTAGAAGACCTAGGATGTGGGTCAAAAGAGGTCTTTGGAACCCATCCAAACTGGCCTCCTAGTCCCACATTCAGGGTCCTGACAGGTATGGAGACAGAACCTATAAGTGTATTCTATTCCTGGTGGCACTTCCTGGCACAGGACTCTCCACCGTGGAATGAATATGGCCACGATGGTGGAGTCCATTTCCCACCACACACAGGCTTGTGGAATAGTATGGAATGGCCCAGGGAAATGATCACTCCTCTGTTTTAAAGCCATCCTAGTTTTCTGTGTTGATGACCCCTGAAAGAGGAAACCTCTAATACAAGAAGAGTGAGGCTCAGCAGAAATGAATATTTATCTCCTTCCAGTCTAGAAGGCTCACACATTTTGGATAGGTTACTTTCCTTTGTATATACAAATTCTGTCAAATCATTTCTTCGCCCATTTGTCTCTGGACAAGCAAATTCTAGAAGCCTGGAGAGAACTGCTTTGAAACCCTATGCCATGACCTTGACCTTTTTAGATACCCCACTTTGTCCATTGAAGCAGTGCTAAGGCCAGGTACATGTGTCAAGGTCCCCAGGCTGAGTCACAGCCAGAGTTCCCTAGTCCTGGGTACTCCACCAAATATCAGGTCATCTCTTCTGGATTTTAAGAGGCAAAGATGGGCAGAAGCAGACTTACTAAATTTACTCTTAGGAATTTAACCTTCCTTGCTTGAAGGCTTTGCATTATTTCTATTGTGTATTAGAGCTAAAGGGCTTTCCCCAGGCCTGTAGTCTGGAAACCACAGTAGACAGGCCCTGGAATTGGTCTAGGCTGAACCAGTGAACACCTCAGACAATCTGGTCTCCTCATGCTAGTCTGGTAGCTAGCATGGGAAGGCAGTGGCTTCCTATTCATGGCACTCCATGGCATCCAATTATGCTCTTCCTTCTGTCTTGGCTCTAAACATCAATTATTCTACACATTCCACTTTATATCTACCATGAACTACTATCAGTCAGATAGTATATGCAGAGTCCCTTCTAGAGGAGAAGAGAGGTGACCATGCGCAGGGGCTATGCAGCACTCAACATCACTTTGTGGCCCCCACCTAGATGCAGAGTTGCAAGTTCTATCTTGGCTGCTGCTCTTGAAAATGTTGGAATCAGATGTGGAGTTGAGTGACACTGCCATGTTATTAAGGCTGAGCTAAGAGGGGTTGACAGTCCCATTTATATTCCAAACTATATTCTATCAGGGAGAGAAGGGGCTCCCACATCAAACATACTTCTTTCCCCACTAGAAAATCTAAGGAACAAGGTTTTCCTAACTTTAAGACCAACACACTAGTTCCCCCCCCCAACATTCCCATGCCTACTTTGTCATATTTGAGGTTACTGGACTCTGTCACTTTTATACACCCATTCCCAAAGTTTTATACAGTTACAGAGAGAGGAAAAGCAAGGGAAAGTTTGATAGAGTCAGACTGTGGAGTGGAGTCTTCACAAGATTGCCTCATCCTGAGAGGGCTCAAGGCATTCTATTGTTTGTTTCTGTGATGACTGAATGAGGAATCCTTCAGGCACAATGAGAGAATTTGAGATGAGGGTGGGTCCTCTGAATGTCCTGTCCCTTCCAGAAGCCACTCTGAGAAAGAGTAAACACCAACCCCCTTCATACCCCACTGGAGTACACACAAAAAATATCAATTTATCTGATGAGAAAAGGAAAAAAACAATTTATTAGGAAGCAATTGAAATCCCAGAAGGGAAGAAGACATTAGTCTTTAGAGAAGGGGTTCACATGATGACAGTTTTTCTTCCCCTTGAATTCATTTTTTTCTGAAAGTTTTTTCACCAGGAAACTCATGGTAAACAAGACCTGGTTGACCATGCACATCACCATTTTGAAAAAAACAAGTTGGGTAATGATGGTGACTCAATGTGCTCACCCCAATTGGCCTGAGTTGGAAGGGGGTGGCTGGAGGCTCAACATTCCTAGGCTTGCAGGTCCAGTTATTGTCTTCTGCCCACTTGTTCTTGGGGCTGTGGTCCTTTGGTTTTGCTTGGGGACCAGAGGCAATGTCTATAAACATTTGTCTTCTCTCTGGGTAGGAAGAACCCTTGGGTTGACAGGATTGCCTACCCAGTAGCATCTGGGGTTCTTCTTTATGCCCATATATCTCTGTTGAAATACTTCTACGTTGAAGTATCAGCTTGTCCATAAGGGTCTGTCCAACAACTCTCATGAGGGCCTGGGGTTCAAGCACCCTAATCTCCTTGAATATTTGGCTTGTGGCTGATTTCTGGGTATGGGTGGTAGCTGACAGGAGGTTGACTTTATTCAGGGAATTTTCCTTCCCTTTTCCTTTTTGATGATTGTTAAAAGACTGCACAAAGTCCTTCATTTTGATATTACAATAGCTTATTGGAGGATTCTGTTCCTTCTCTGGAAAGCAAGAGAAGGACTTTGTTGAAGTAGTGTCTATGTCCTTGACTTTGTCAGAAGGGCTCAACCCACACTCTAGGGAACTTCCTTCCTCCTCTCTTGGTCTGGACCTCCCAAAGCTCTCTTGGCTTTTATTTAGACAAATCATTTCAGTGTCATTCTTTCCAGGAACCTCAATATTTGTGACTTTGGATTCCTCCTGCTCCTGGCTGCTCCCTGCTTTCATTACAGCATTACATAGAGCTTGGGATATTGACTTGTGAATCCTGCAAAAGCTCTTTGAGTTGGACAAGGACACCCCAGAATGTGAAATGTCTGTGGTGGAGAGCTCATTAGTGAGGCAATCTTGCTGGACTCCAGTGAACTGGTCTTGGTGTTGCTCCTCTGACTCAAACTCCACTTTGACCTGAAAACCACTACCTATCTTTGTATTCAGGTTTTGGTCTCCTGGATCTTGTGAAATAGATATTCTAGACGGGGAGGGGCTTTTCATGTTTCCCAGAGACCCTACATTCTTCAGATTCACATTGATGGTTTGGGAGTTTGCCATCACAGAGGCTTCCACTGTCACTTCCCATTCAGATGATTTCTTCTTCTCCAACTCTGTCTCCTTTGTCTTTGTAGCTGTTGAGGATTGGGTCCCTACCTTAATTTCCAGCATTGTCGCACCAGGATATGGGTCTCCTGAGGCCACATCTTTACTCTGTTTCAGTGGCTCATAACTGGCCATATCCAGGCTTAGACTGGGCTCCAGGCTAGCTTTCCCAATACCTCTAAAAACTGTACTCTGTTGGTTCATGTCCAGATGGCTATAGGTATCAGAAGACATGTAGGCATTTGAAGTCATATGCCTGCCACCCATTGGGGTTCCTTGCAGGGTCTTCTGAGCTTCTGAATGTGAGAGTGCAGGAAGGGGGTTATGTAAAGTGGGAAATAAAATTTTTCTTATTACCCTCTTTCTCTGACCTTTCTGAGGAAGTTCTTCCAGGAGACTGCCAATTTTGGCAATGGAAATGGCCCTGTAGTCACTGTAGGCTGAGGAGGAAAAGGCAGGCTGTGGAAGGGGTGAGGTTTGAGCCTCACTTAAGGTGTAATTAAGGGGATCAAAAGCCTGGAGGGATGGACTCCACCTGCGCCTCACCCGAGACCTCATAATATCTGTTTCTAGCTTCAGGTGAGTTCCAGGGTCAAGAAAGGAAAGCTGCTGAACAGTGTTTACATAGGATTGCTGGTACTTGGAGGAGGCTAGATAGATGGGTTTTCTGTGCATGTAGGACTTTGGAAAAGCATAGTTGGCAGCAAGCCAGGATCCACGTACACACACAGGGATCATGCCCTCCTTTATCTGCACTGACTTTCTGCTTAGATGGTCTTGCAGGACTTTTTCCACAATTTTCTTGTCTAGGCCTGTAGATAAGTCACTTTCTGGAATACCCTTCCTGTTCCTCCTCAAGTAACTTTCTGAAACCTCCTTATTGTCATTTTGAATCTTCCCCAAGGTGCTTCCTGAGCTCCAGGATATATCTACTGACTGCTTCTGTAGTTCTGGTTCTAGATCCTTGTTTGGGAAATCTAGTTTGAAGGTTACAGAGCCCATTGTAGAGAGTCTTTCAGTGTGCTTAGTCTCCATCTTCTTCAGATCATGACCAGCAAGTGTTGACTGGCTGGGCTGCTCCATATTCTGCAGATCATTATCAGTAAGTGCTGACTGGCTGGACTGTGAGGGGCCAGAGTCATCATTTTTGTGGCATTGACTCTTCCCTGGATATTGATCCTGAGGCTCTATCTGTTCCTGAGATTCGAGAAATCTACAGTGAGGGCCTAGCTGTGGTTGATCACTGATTAACTTTTCTTGAATATGTTGCTCAAGTCTATTCTCTAGTTCCTGGCTGGCAGAATCCCCAGCAGCTATTGAGACAGAGTTGGAAATTTGGGAAGCCCATCTTCCCCGAGGAAGGTTGAGAGCTGGCTGGTAAAGGTCTTCCAGAGTCTTTTGGATCTCAGAGAATAAGATTTCCCTTTGGTTCTGCAAGGGACATTCTGAATGTTGTTCTTCAGTTGGGAAGAAAGTCTGTTCCTTCTTTTCAGATTTAGAACAAGTTGTTGTGCCAGGCTGAATCTGGGATGAAGAAGGTGGTAGGTTTGGAAAAGTGTATGAAGTGCTAAACAGGGTCTGACCCTGAGCCACAGATGGGGACAAGTTTTGTGCCAAAAGTTGGGATTGGGCCTCCTCCTGGGAAAAGAGCTCCTCCTGAGAAATCTGTGCAGTTTCTTCATCCTGATGTTGAACTGAGAGAGATTCTGAGACTATGTTGAATGCTACATGTTTACATTGTGCAGTAGAGGACCTCTTAGAGACCCAAGCAGTAGCCACCAGGGACTCACTGTGCAGAGAGGGCAGGCCCCAGAACAGCTGGCTGTATTTTTTCTCTAAAGTACTCCCCAAGTCCTTGTGGTAAGAGAAATCCTGAGAATCATGAAGCTGCTCTGGTTTGTCTTTTGTGTTCCCGAAGATTTGTGCAGTGGTGTCTCTCTTGCTACCCATTAATTCCAACATGTTTCCCAGAGAATACATGGTGTAATCTGGACTCATTTGTTTGAAAGAGGACCCATTTTTAATATTTTCCTTCCACACTTTTAGTTCTGCTCTTTTGGTGATTGGCATTTCTAGGAGTGTCTGTACATCAGAGTTGATGAAAGAGAGGCCTCCAGACTCTACTTGCCATCGTGTGGGGTCTACTGAGATTGTGGGGTCTGATGGATGGTGAAAAATATGTTCTTGCTTGGATTTTCCATATACCCAGGTAGAGAAAAATAAGAGCTTGGCAGTTGCCCACCACCAGGAGAGGAACAAAATTGAATAGCTTACGCAGTCTAGGCCTGAGATGGTGGTGATCAGGGATGCCCAGTATGAGTGACCTACAAGAGAGCTCTGTGGAACAATGTCCAGTGTGTTTCTATTCAAGTCAGACTTGTCTTCATGTTCTTCTGATAAGGATGAGGCCCAAGGCAGAGTGTGTTTGGTCAGAGGAGCTAGAGAACCTAATGAGGGTATGATGTTAGAAGGATCTTCTAAATGTTGATGAGGTAGCTCTTGAACTCCAGCAGGCTCTTGGATGAACACCTCACTTGCAACGTCTTCATTTACCAGTAGAGGAGAACTGTCCTTGTCCCAGAGCTTACCTAGGAGACTACAGGAGACAAGAGGCACAAGTTAGAGCCAGGAGCAATAAGGACCAAGAGGCTGGGCAGGGGTGAAAACTTTTGGCCTATGGACCCTCCACTGCACCTACACCATCTTCACCAAACTCTTCCTATTCCTACCACCAGGGCTTCAATCACATTCCACTATAACCTGGAGTACACATACTAAGTCAGTCTTGAGCCTCAGGATCACATTACAGATGCTGATGGGAAAACACTAGAGAACTGGAAAGCTCCTCACCTTTGCAGAAGTAAAATCAGATTCTGAATCTCCATCAGATTCATCCGGCGATTGCCTAAACCTGGAAATGGTAAATAAATTATGGTAGAGAAAGGAGAATCCCAGATTTCACAGGATGTTAAGTGCAATGCCCCCTTGGGGTAGATCATGGGAGATGAGACTGGAGGCTAAGCCTCAGTGTCAAGTCCACCAGGAGAGGAACAAATATGAATAGCTTATGCAGTCTAGGCCTGACATGGTGGTGATCAGGGATGCACTTGTACAGCATGAGAGGCATATAAAGACTCTGGGAGAAGCCATGTTTTTATCATTTGCAGGTTGTTTTTACCTCCAATAACCTGCATGATCCTCACAACCACCTTATAGGGAGAATGCATTGGTTACCTCAAAGAGAAATTGGCCTTAACAGAATGAAACAGCTTGACCACAGGTGGACCTGAATGTCCCACCTCCATATCTAGGCACTACTGCTCAAGTGCTGTCCACATCACCCTACTGGACATCACCCACCCTTCATCCACCACACCTTCTAAGCACGGAATCTGAGAAGTGTCTTTGGTATGATGAATTCCTTACCAACATCTTCCCTCTCAGGTCTCTGCAACCAACTTCCTCTGGAACATGGCTCTGAACTCTTGGAGAAAGGGGACAATATACCATCTCTGGGATAAAAGGGCAAGGTGTTACCTTTCAGAGTTCCACTCTTCTTCCTGCACTTGTACAGCACCTTCTTCACCTTCACATGCTGACAGACAATATAGAAAAAGTGGCTGAGTCTCAGTTCTCCCTGTGTTCTCGTAGACTAGCTGTAGACATTTCATGTTTCTGAACAGCAGGACTTCTTCAGTTAGCTAGTGGAAACCCTTTTATTCAGAAAACATTTTTAAAGTGGCAAAATACTTCATTTTTTTTCCTTTGGAAAGCACAAAAGTGGATTTTCTGAATAAATTACACTATGAATGTTGTCATTCACTTATCTTCTGCTTAAGAATGGACTCATTTCCACAGGCTCTTCTCAGCTGCCAGGCAAAGTTCTGCTTCCTAAGACCAGAGGTGACCTGAGAGCCAGGGATGGAGGCCCTCATACCCACTTCATCTCAAAACAGAGGAAAGGCATTTTCCAGAGATACTTACCAGCAGAAGCCGATGGAGCAATTCTCGGGACCTGTCCTTTCCAGAGGTACCAAGCACTCTCAGGAGTCCAGACCTCTCTATGTGGTCTAAGACTTCCAGATAGGAGAAATCCTAGTGCACACTATCTCCTGCTCTGCCCTGCTTACCCCAGAATCATTCTCTATTCTGTCCTGAAATTTCTCTTTTCTGAAGTATGTCTACCTATTTTGGAAAAGTGAAAAGAAAAGTAGACAAAAGAGAACATTTTTTTTTTGTTGTTGTTGGGTGTGACCTGAGGATTTCTTACCTTCCAGAGTTTTTCTTTTTTCCTTGGTGGTGGGAAGGATGGATTACCCTGGAGGTGAGGAAATAAAAGGAGATAGATCCCCAGTCCAACCACAAAGGCAAGGATCATATCCATTGCCCAGGTTGTAAAGCGGGGGTTCACCCATGTGGTGTTAATGCTATTTAGAGGAAAGAGAGGATTCTCCATCATCTCAATTGCACTGTGTCACTTGGACAAATGAGTCCTGAAACACATCTTCAGCAATGTAAAGTAGGGCCCAGGCCTATGTCACAGAGCTGTGCCCTCTCATCACAAAGGAATCCTGTCATTTGGGGAAGGACAACAAGAAAAGTGAGCACCACCCCTTTGCTCCACCCTTCAGCCAGCATGTCCTCTACTCTCCTGGCCTTCTAATTCCTTCCTTCCAATTCCACTTGCTCACCCTGTCAGAGAAGATCTCAGTCAATTCAATACTCTTTTCTCCTGGAACATAGATATCCCCTCCTTCCTTTTAGGTTTCTGAGCTTCATCAATTTCATACTGTTTGAAAATTCTTATTATCTATGAAATTTTATTTCTCCAGATCACTTCTTTATTTTCAGGATCTCTTCTCTTTGAAATTTCAACTCTTCCATACAATATGTTCTTGCCTTGTTCAATTCAGCATAGAACTGAAATTTCTCTTATGCTTATTTAGTTATGCTAACTTGATTTTATTATTATTATTATTATTAGTTGTTGTTCAAAACATTACATAGCTCTTGACATATCATATTTGATACATTTGATTCAAGTGGGTTGTGAATTCCCATTTTTACCCCGTACACAGATTGCAGAATCACATCCGTTATACATCCACAATTTTTACATACTGCCATACTAGTGTCTGTTGTATTCTGCTGCCTTTCCTATCCTCTACTATCCCCCCTCCCCTCCCCTCCCCTCCTCTCCCATCTTCTCTCTCTACCTCATCTACTGTAGTTCATTTCTCTCCCTTGTTTTTTCCCCTTTCCCCTCACTTCCCCTTATACGTAATTTTGTATAATGATGGGGATCTCCTTCCATTTCCATGTAATTTTCCTTTTCTCTTCCTTTCCCTCCCACCTCTCATCCCTGTTAAATGTTAATCTTCTTCTCATGCTCTTCCTCCCTGCTATGTTCTTAGTTGCTCTGCTTATATAAAAGAAAAAATTTGGCATATTTTTAGGGATTGACTAGCTTCACTTAATATAATCTGCTCTAGTGCCATCCATTTCACTGCAAATGCCATGATTTTGTCATTTTTTAGTGCTGAGTAATACTCCATTGTGTATAAATGCCACATTTTTTTATACATTCATCTACTGAAGGGCATCTAGGTTTGTTTCACAGTCTAGCTATTGTGAATTGTACTGCTATGAACATCCATGTAGCAGTATCCCTATAATATGCTCTTTTAAGGTCTGTACGGAATAGTCCAAGAAGGGGAATAGCTGGGTCAAATAGTGGTTCCATTTCCAGCTTTCCAAGGAATCTCTATACTGCTTTCCAAATTGGCCACACCAATTTGCAGTCCCACCAGCAATGTACAAGTGTACCCTTTTCCCTACATCCTCACCAGCACTTGTTGTTGACTTCATAATGGCTGCCAATCTTACTGGAGTGAGATGGAATCTTAGGGTGGTTTTGATTTGCATTTCTCTGAGTGCTAGAGATGGTGAGCTTTTTTTCATGTACTTGATGATTGTTTGTATTTCCTCCTCTGAGAAGTGTCTGTTCAGGTCCTTGGCCCATTTATTGATTGGGTTATTTGTTTTATTATTATTTAATTTTTTGAGTTTTTGTATACTCTGGATATTAGGGCTCT